AATGCTTGTATTCAAATCAAGGGCTAATATTATGAGCAAAGATGGAAGGTAGCTAGTAGTAGAATTCAGGATGTGCGTTTCGTTCTATCCTTGACTCGTCAGCTAGACTTACCGATAAGAGACTGATCAGTTACAGTCCTAAACATCAATGGAAAGATTCAAACAAACAATACAAAATGAATTTAAACTTCACTCGGTTCCATAAGCTAGTAACTATCAGGACTCAGTAGCTAAGTGGATAATGTAATGGTGTTTGGAGGGAAAGATACTATGTTTGAGTCCCGAAGTGGGTTCCAAATAGGGAAAAACGCACGTCCTGGATTCCACCACCAGCCACCAGCCATCTTTTCTTATAACGCTTGTGATTCAAGGCAATATCGAGGCAATCCACACAGGATTCATATATGGCAATGAGAGACTAATTAACTGAATCCATAAGCATCAATGGGAATATTCAAACAAACAATACAAAATGAATTTAAGTGATAATATTGTTAGGTAAAATATAAATAAATACTTCTCAATTAAAGGATCGTACATAAAAAGCCCTATACCATTCCAAAAAATCTGTATTAATACTTTTTTAGAATAACTCAAAGAGAGTTCCTAATAGAAAAGTTGGTTTGTGATTAGTTGTGAAACTAATCATACACAATTCGTTTTGTTTAGGATTAGATGTATTTATATCACGGTGTTGTTTACTCAGAAACACCTACGAGTTGTTCTCTAAACAACTGGATCCATATAGTTATTAATTTTGCTCAATTGGTATGAAGTTATTAAACAGTATTTATAATCTCTCTTTGTTATTATTTAGGACTATGACTAATCAACCTCTAATGGCATATATACATCATGAAAGGAATGATTCAGTGGTGACATTTACTTACAAGATTTTCATTGAAGTTCAGTTTGAGGAAACGTACATTCTGAATTGCACTACTTACCACATTCCAAATTTGAGTAAAAACAATGGGAAATCCTAGACTGACAAATAGAGCCATGAAAGCAAAATTTCGCATTGTCCTTTTTAAAACAGTTATATATCAGTGAAACTGTATTCGTTTATTTTATTTTGTTGATAAATATATATATTAGTGGTGTAGTAGTTGGTCCTGTTTACATAGCACGTTACTTCTACAAGGTTGAGTTGAAATTCATTAGTCTACCTTTCCAATTTAATTAAGAAATAATCTTTATAAACTTGTTATTATATTAGATGTCCACTAGACTTATTTTCTCATCACGATAAAGATTTACATTTTTTAAGAATGTAAAAATAATTTGCAGATGTACTTTTTTATTTTTCTTGAAACTTATCTAACGAGATCATTCATTTTTCATCTGTAATATTCCACTGAAATCGATTATTACTATTATTACAAACTTTTTCTCTTAAATTGATTTTGATAACTTATTTTTTTTTTATCAAAATGGGATAAATTAATGTTTTTGATTTCCAATAAAAGTTGAAATTTCTGCAAACTAATCGTGATAGAAGTTTAATATGATCGTTTTTTTAGACAATATGATAGCATTAATTCGTTTTGTGTTGGTTGTTCAAATCTTTCCATTGACGTTTAGGACAGTGATTGATCAGTCTCTTTATTGGCATATATGAGCTCTGTGTAGGTTGCCTCGATATTACTTTGAATCACAAGCAATGGTATCGAAAACGTACGTTTCGTCCTACTTGGGATGCGTCAGCTGAGTGTGCTTACAGCCCAGGATTGATGTTCACTCGTAGTTAGGGTGAAGCGAATGGTACGTAGTTAGAGTCTCGGAGTAAACATCTACTTTGTGATGGAAGTACATCCTCTAGACCACTGAACCGGCATCCAACAATGTTTATGTCTAACTTCAATCGACCCACGAATGGTTGCATAACCATTCATCCATTGTCTGCGGTAGATACCAGTCTCTACCCGACATGTGTTGGACTCCACTTGTCTTGTGGATGCGCACTGTTGAGAAGTTCTATAATTAAAAGAAACGGCAGTCTATTGCTTGCAGATTTTCAATAGTGGTTTAACATTGATTCATTCATGAAACACTGGTTAGTTGAAATTCAATTGAACACCCTTTCATCAATCAAGTATAAATTAACTTTTTTATCACTCAAAGAAACCTGTGTTTTTATTATATTAAATCCAATGTATTTTCTTTGAATGTAAGTACTTTTCTAGCATTCGTTTCTTTTGAAATTCTCATTTGAAAAAATCATTAAACAGTCTATTACATTTACATTAAGATAAACGTTTTTGAAAAACAAGAGGATGATTGGTGTTGAAGAGTCTAGATTGTTATCAAATATATGTTTAAGTATATATCTATGTTTTTAATAGAACACATAAACTATCTACTTATTCTTACTTTTAAATATTCCCTAGGGTTAAACAGTTCAAAGTAAGGAGAAAGAAACAAGAGAAATTTCATCAATACTGATAGATAAAATAAAACAAAATCTTCATTTTTCTCTTTTTTTTTCATCAAATAACACAAAGCAGTAGGAATTCAAAGGTAAAGAATTCTCTTCTTTCATTTCTTCGTCTTCTTCTTCTCCTTCTTCTTCATAAACAGGGGAAATAAATTATTAAAGTATACTTTTTTTTCCCGAACAGGTTAGATAAATGTGATTTGTTAACAAGCAATAATAGAATATGAAAACTAAGAAAAAAAACAACTGACCGATAAACAGACAAATAATCAAAGTTGAATTTGAAATTTAATACAAATCTGTGAAATTTAATTAAGTTGAAAATGATTTCATTTGATTATTTGTTTATCCATACACCATCACATTAGAACAAGAGGTTTATATAGAAATTGCTAATCAAAAATGAATAATGTAAACGAGAATGTTTTATTGTTGAAATGTTTATTGAAGATTAGTTAAAATCTTAAATGTTATTTACAACGATATGCCAAAGTTATGATGTCAATGAAAACTAAGGATCATTTGATCGTTGTATAGGACTCATCGGTAGTGAACATTTACAACTCCGACAATGATAGAACCTAGGGTTTTAATAACTGACGACTACTGAATAATTTTTTTTAATGGACGAGACTGTTAAAAGTCAGTAAGTTCAGGAGTAGAAAATCAATCACCGGCAGTACTGAATGATCATCAACTGATATATATAGTTGATTGAAGTTAAAACTATGAAATGATGATTTTCAACGAATTAACTTGAAGGTTGGACATACCATAAAGCCTGAAACTTTTAGATTTCATCTACATTAGGGTCGTGGTTGTGAGCTACTAATAAACCTCATACTGTTGTCCAGTGATTCTTGGTTTTCATTGAAAACCTAATTGATTACGTTCGTGATGAATACCATACAGAAATAATTTTTCCAGAATTTCTTGTTTTGTTCATTTGGTAGAAAATTACAGAAGTAATGTGCTGATTAATATTTCTAAGGGATGTTATTTTAACTTAATGCTTAAAAGTCCTGTTTATATATGTATTTCATTTTTATGTTAGTATAGTGATTTAAGTGTATGACATTAGCTCCTGAAAACCATCACCGTTTTTATTAACATTTAGCTAAAGAAAGACTAGTTTCTTCACGACATGCTTAGTTATTTGAAATTTTATTATTATAAAAAGAAGTTTAAGTAAAATAGTTGTCATAGTTAGGAGTGAAATCTAGGACACGTGTTTCATTCTATTTGAGACTAGTCCGCTAGATCCATGTGAGTTCTAGAGTAAATATTCACTCATATATTCGAACTCAGTACCTTTCATTTCAAACAATAATGTGGTATCTATTTATCTATTAAGTTTGGATAATCAATTACTTATGCAATGAGTATGAACTTTAGTTTAATCAATAATTATTTGACTTATCGAGTTGTTGATATTCTAACTGAATTTCGATCGAATTCCAAACAAGAATGATTAAAATTCAATCAAAATATCAATAAAGGGATGATCCAAAATGCAACAATTTATTATGATTGTATAAATTGTTTTAGAAAAAATCGCAGTGTGAATTTCTAACGATAATCATTAATCAATTTATTGCATAATAATAATCATCATCATGTTATTTAATGCTCAGCATTGGTTGAATTCTAGTTGATTGTTTGTAATCATTAATCTAAATAAGTTTATGAGCTTTATCTTGAATTTAAGTAGTTGAGAAAGATTCTCTGAAAACATTTGATCTAGGCCTGGTGATAGTTAACACTCATCGACAAGTCACATCTGTAAAGTTTATAAAGCTAGTATTTCCAATAGGATTTAAAGTTTTACAATTGTATCATCCAACATAAAGAACATAGTATCTATTAAGTCAGATGAACTGTATCGAATTGTATACGAGATTTTTAGGTCTTTCATTGAATACGATATTATTAAGATCAAAATATGGACAATATTTGTTTGACTTTACTTACATTTAAATTGAGCCATACATTAAGAAAACAAAACAACAACAAATATTTGGATTATTAACAATAAATTTAATGAAAATGACTGTACAACTCGACCTATAAAGTTAATATTCTTTTTTTCTTTTATTCTAAAATAGACAACAATAAAAGAAAATGATTAAATAGGTATATATATATATATATATATATATATATATATATATGTATATATATATATATACATGTTGATTTGGAAATGTTAATATTTGTGTAGAGTTTTAATCATCCATTCTTTACAGCTGTCATAAAATCAAAACAAAAAAAATAAACAAAAAGAAGTAAAGAAGAAGCCCAACTAGTTGAATGAAATGAGAAAAAAATTGGGAGTTACAAAATTAAAACAAAACTAAACAACATTTCATGTACACAACATAATGATAATGATAGTGATGGTTTAATGTATAGATCTATTTGTTTGTTTGTTTTTTAATAAAAGAGAGAGCGGGGAGTGGGGAGGGAGGTAGGGCAAATAAACTGACAAATTTTTCATTGTATCATTATGATAGAATAATTATTAATTATTATTACTATTGAATTTTCTCTATTTCAAATTAAGCTATGTTAGTGTACTAAGTAAATTCTCTACTGAATAAGGTAATAATTTTTCATCATTATTACTATGTATATTGTTTGGGCTAGATGAAGAATAATCTTTAGGATTCATTGTATCACAGTCATAATAATTATTATTACTATTGTCAGTATCATTATTAGTATTATTGTCAGTATTATTATTATTACTATTGTTATTAGTGTTGTTAGTGTTGATTGTTGTAGATAAATTTAAACTATTGAAATTATGAAATGAATCAATTAGATCAGATGTATTTGAATAATTTTGTAAATGAATTGATGTAGGACTAGAAAGTATATTTGGTAAAGGTGAAATAGATAATGATGAAGATGTTGATGTTGATGAATTTAATATAATTTTATTATCATAATGTAAAATATTTGATTTTTTGTGATTTTCATGAAAATTATTAATAGATAAATGAGAGGTTTTTATATTATCTAATGTATAATTTTTTTTACATAAATCAATTGTACCATGTTGTGTTTCAATATGACGTCTTAAATCAACTTTACGTTGAAATGCACGTAAACAATGAAAACAAGAGAATGGTTTAAAACCAGTATGTTTACGTGAATGTGTAATTAAATTTGATGATTGACTAAATGCTTTACCGCATTGTAAACAAATATAAGGTTTTTCACCTAAATTTTTTTCAAAAAGAAAATACAAAAAAATATTAAATAATTTTTTTAGAGAAATAAAATATCTAAATAATTTTTTTTAATGTTAGAAATTGGTTTTAAATAGATTAATCAGTTCCATAATTATTGAGAAACTTAATAGAAACATTTTGTTAAATAAAAAACAAACGAATCTTACGGGGCGGGATCGTGGATGCGTATTGCTGAGGAGTCTCATCTTAGGATGAAACGGCCATTTAGTGCTTTCAGGTTTTCCATGGTGATCTAGTTTTAATCGACTCATGAATTCAATTATAAAACTATAAAAGACTTTAAACCATCTTTCCATACAATTTTGCAAGTATTCCAAGTGAACTGTATGATAGTTATTATTATAAGTTGAACAAATGTTTAGTCATTAGATTAAGATTTTGTTGTTTAAATGATAAAGTGTTCACTTCAAATTAGAGTTTTTCTATTTATTTTAAGGATTAATCATCAGTATCTGTTAAACATTGTTAAATTTTTGTTCTTGATGAATAAACTTTTAACTGAGAATTTGTTAGTATAGAGGATTTATGAAGATAGTGGACTGATGTTAGCTAGACTAACATTGGAAGTCTGGAAGAACTAGACGGTTATATCGTCCTATTACGGGACTTCTTAGCTAAGAACATTTCGTGATTTAAGCTGTGAAATTATTACAACCTCCACAAGTCTTCTGTACTAATAATAATGATGTGCTCATTTGTGAGTATATTCAAGATGTCTCTTGGAATTTTGGTGAGTAATGGATTCCCATCTGTGTCGGGTGTGTGACAGCTATTCACTACATGAAAAGGACGAATGATTGCTCAATATCATGAGCTGGTCAAAGCTAGATAATAACGCTATTAGATGATAGTCCAGTGGTGTGTGGGTTAAACATTTGCAAGCGAGATGTGTGTTGGGTACGATTCATGTTAGGGGTCGTAGATGTGCACCACTGAAGAGTCCCGCTCTGGGACGAAACGACCATCCAGTGGTTTCAAGTTTTCAATAATTGTCTAACTTATATTACTCATCATTTACAATGTGAAAGGATTTCTTATTATTAAGCCTGAAAATACTTTTAAAAGCATTTATCATTTTGATGAATATAATTTAATATGGACATCTTTTCTAGTCACTTTTCGATTAGAATTAGTTCAAATAAAATTTAACATGAAAGCAATTCAATGTACATCACTGATTCCATATATTGTAGAAAGAGCGATATAATTAGCCACTTTTTGGATCATTCATTTTGATATATGATTATAGAACCAGGAGATAATTGATTGAGAACAATATTCATTGTGTTTTTGATATGATTGTAACCTTTGAGCTGTTCACATGCATAATTCTCAAATCACTGATAACTAGTTGTCATTATTTCAAATCCAAACATCTTTTTAATTATTTTTATCTATTCAAGTAAACTAAATTCTATGAACTGATTGTTTGGAAGTCAGAATGCGTTACAAGTTATAATTCATAATAAGAAAAGCAGCTGATCTTATGTTGTAGTTTGCTTATATGAATCGATATTACTTCTACATAGACCAACCAATTCCTACGAATTGTTAGTAAGCAACTGCTAATGATAAAGTGAATTATAGTTATAATTATTGAGAATCAGTTACTTAACTGATTATCAACGTCTTAATTGTTCTAAGAGTGAAGATTGAGAAAACGAATATTTCAAAACAGTCCAGTTAGAAAAAGAAAAAATTAAGTTCAAGTCATATTAAACTAACTCATTTCTCACAGTATTTCTATGTGCTAGTTATATTTGATTGATAACATAACTCATTTATCAAATCCCTGCTTGTAAATTCAACTTTCAGTAATATTGTTTGTCTCAGAGCCAGTACTAATACCCTGTTGCTCCAAATAGAAGTAGATACAGGTTAAATCGAATGTATGACTGATGATGAGTATTTTAATTACTAAACCACCTTTGATGAGTACATCTACCTGTCAGGTTACTTTGGCGAATACTGATCTATCTACTGTTTGATATAATGATAGTAATATAAAGATTCAGGTTTAGCAACTTCTTACAGACTCAATTATATATATATATATATATATATATATATATATATATATATATATATATATATATATATATATATATATATATATATATATATATATATTTGAAGGGTATTTTGCAAGTAAACAGTGTCAAAATATAATTTACGTACCAGTATGTGTATAAGTATGCTTTTTCATATCAGATTTTTGATGAAAACGTTTACCACAATACTGGCATGGATAAGGACGTGTATCACTATGTATTAATAAATGTGTACTCAATGTAGATGAACGTTTAAATGTTTTACCACATTGAGAACATTGAAATTGCCTATCTTGACAATGTACGCTTTCATGTTGATATAAACTTGTAGCATGACCGAATGTTTTCTGACATAATTGACATTCAAATGGACGTTTACCATTATTATGTGCTCTGTTTGATCAAACAAAAGTAAGGAAATAGGTAAATGATACTTACAAAAATGAATAATTATTGTTTAAGTCAATACATGAAATAAAAATAATAACCACTCGTATCAGTTATGTTAAATTGATTACTTATGACTTTCATTGAAGTAGTCTTATGTTTGATGAAACCGAGGTTTGGCTAAATTAAGTATAGTTCTAGAAAACGAAGTTAACACATTTATTTGATCCGTATGAATTAGTTTTCTGCTTTCTTGACATTTTCCCCTCCGAATAATCTAAAAGCTTTGTTGGTTGCAGACTGATCATAGATTGATTTCAATTGAAACCGGAAAGCACTGACTCCTTAGCAGTGCGAATCCACGATACTGCCCCCGCGGGATTCTAGCCCTAGACCTACCAGTCTCGAGCGCGACCGCTTAACCACTAGACCACTGAGCCGGCATCGAGCAGTGTTAATATCTAACTTCAACTAATCCACAAAATTGAGTGACACAGCGAATCTCGCGAGGCGGGATCGTGGATACACACTGCTGAGGAGTCCCGTAGTAGGACGAAATGTCCGTCCAGTGCTTCCAAGTTTTTTGTGGTGGTCTAGCTTAAACTGACTCATGATGTCAACTGTTAAAATTTTTGTTAGTGTTTTGATTAATGCAGTCACTGAATACCAAATGTTAAACATATCATTCTAGTAATGTACTTTCCAATACGATATAATTTTTTGAGATTTTTGTATGATATAATTCTGCTGAGTGCATATTCTATAAAGCTGTAGACATGTATAAAATATTTAATTATATCTATGGAATATAAACACTAGGGAGATTAAAAATTGCAACTAAAGAACTATTCATTTCCTATGAATTCAGAGATTATAGCTGCCTAATGGAATAGTTTGGCCATATTGATTGTTGATCAAATATCATTAGTTGTTAATAAAACCTAACGGCCTCATATCTGACTCTAATTAGATCGTATGAATGATTTTTGTCAAAATATACATCTTGGCTATCCTCGTATAAAATTATCGACTTAACTCACGTTTGTGGATAACGGAATTAAAATAAGCCAAATACGTGAATGGATTTTTGAATGCGTGCATTTTTTACACTTCTTGATTTGAACGAACAATCAGAGGAATAAAGCGAAGAGAAGAGAGCAAAGTGACGCGTGGTGGACAAGGTATATGAACCAACTCGATCGTCACATGAAGATAAGTTACAAACATGTGATGAGTAGGATATGATGTTCATACACATGCTCATATAAAAAACAGTCAAGATTGATAAGTGAATAATTAACATGGTGAAAACGTGACTCAAGAAGAATGGATAAATTAGCCTGTCCAGAAGTTAGAGTACGTTATGTGAGCTTAACATAGTAACCGACATTACAAACCTTATTCAGTTTATACAGTCGGATATTATTATTTACATTGGCTTATAAGAAACGTTTAACTTTAAATATATAAATCCTATACTTGATAATTAATTGAACTATTTCATAGATGTTAACTGGTTAGAATTAGTCTTCAAGGAATTCTATTGGGTCATTTTTTACACTAGTTGGTACTGAACCGTAAGGCATATTTGTTATAACCAAGGAGCTAATAATAACTGTCAGATTCGAATCCATATCATCCAGCTTCACGTTTTAAGACATTACTGATGAATTATTCAAGGAGTAACTGACATTCTGTTAGACTGAGATATATACAGTTGATTGTGTTTTTCTACTCCTTTAGTACTGATTAGTCTTTATTCCAATATGGTTACTAGTTTGAATAATTTGATAATCATTTGAAAGGTGTTTTACTAAATCTATAAAATCAGATATATTTTTAAAAATAATCTAATTATGCTAGTAAAAGATATAACATCAATTTTATAAAAAATCTTATCAACAACTAACCTTCTAACATGTACTTCTAAACCATGTGCAGTAACAAAATACTTATTACATAAATTACACTTAAAAATATTCATTGGAATATTTTCAGGATTTTGTTTAGGATCTAATATAATTTCTTCTTCATCATCAACAACAACATCAACATCATCATCGTCATCGTCATCATCATCATCATCATCACCATCTTCATTGTTATAACAGTCAGTTTCATTAACTTCTAATTGATTATTTCCATTCATTATTTCATCATTATCAAGATTATTTATATCCTTATCAACGTTGGAATATTTTTTTCGTTTATTATTATTATGATCAATAATTTGTGAATTTAAATTATTTTTTATTGATTGTGATAATTTATTAAATTTTATTGATTTATTTTTTAATTTTGATTGATTTATTATAATTTGTGGATCAGATCTATTATTTTCATGATTTTTATTTATTTTATGAGTATTATTATTATTGATAATAGAAGTAGTGGTATTAGTAGTAGTAGTAGTAGTAGTAGTAGTGGTAGTACTTGTAGTCGTATGATTTTGATTATGTAATAATGTGAAATCATTTAATTGTTTATCATTATGATTATCTAATTGTTTCTGATTGATTAATGATATATTTTCATTAATTATTGTTGTATATATATGATTAAAATGATTTTGATTTAATAAAGAAATATTTACAGGTAAATTATGATTCATTTGTAATTGTTTAATAGTATGATAAAATAATGAACTTAAAGTTTGTAATTCATTTGGAATAAAATTAAATGGTAACATTTTTGATGTCATTAAACTTTGTGTCATTTGTAATGGTGTTATATCTTGTGTAGTTACAGTGAATGAAGATGTTGTTGGTATTGTTGCAGTTGTTGTTGTTGTTGTTGTTGTAGCTATAGATGATAATGTTGGTGTATTAATCATTTGTAGCCAATATTGATGAAATTGTGATGATGATAATTGTGTTTGTGAAAGAATTTGATTAAAATTATTATTTTGTGAATTTGGTAAATTGATTAGATTATCTATTTCAGTAGTATTATTGTTAAGTGGAAATATAGGATATGGTTGTTGTTTTATATAAGAATTTGATAAGAGTGAATTATATGATGAGTTAAATAAATGATCACCATTATTATTATTATTATTATTATTATTATTATTATTATTATTATTATTAAATGATAGATCCAAGTTTTTATTATCAAAATTATTTCTTAAATGAATATCAGAAGGAATCTTACAATGACTATTCATATTCGTATTATGAATTGTTATTAAATTATTTGAAAATTCAATAGTATTTTTATTATTTTCTTTTTTAAAATAAGATTGTTTTAATTTATGTTTATTGTAACGCATAGGATTTGCATTTGAACGTGATTGTTTACGTATTCGTAAATCTTTTGGTGCTAAAATGAAAAATTTTTTTAAAAAAAGGTAAATTCAATAGAATAATCATTTCGACAAAATAATTCATTAACTCATAGTAGACTAATGTAATATAATGATTGAATTCATGAATCAATTAAAGCTAGACCATTATGGAAAACCTAGAAACATTGGAATGCCATTTCGTCGTCGTATGGGACTTCTTAGTAGTGTGCATTCACGATCCCATTTATGTTCTCGCACGCGAAAGCTTAACCTCTAGACCATGGTGATCTAGCTTTAATTGACTCATGAATTCAACCATTAAATTACTAAAATTTTCACAAAACCCCCTTCTGATAATGTAATATAGTTATCAAGGTGGTTTACATAATTTTGAGATATTTATTATTAAGAGTTAAATTATGAAATTAAAACTATGTAATTAGATTTTAGACTAGTTTTTGAATTTTGATAAGGGAAGTAGTAATTTATGGAATTAACTAAGTCAAGAGTAAAACAGTGATTTTTTTGTCATGGACTCATATTATTTGGAAAATTATCGATATTGTATTTTATGGGAAATATGCATTACTGTTGGATTCCAAACAAAAATGAAACATTAAATGATTCTTGTTTTTCAATGATTATTCAATCAATGTCAAACTGTGAAGAAAACTATCTCCAAACTAAACTAATCTCTACAAACGAACTAATTTAACAGGCAAAATACAACTAATGAAAAACAATACTGATTATGAAAAATGAGGAAGCTACAAACATTTACTAACAACTTCATACTAGTTGATCATGTTAGTGGCCATTTCAATTTAGTAGTTCACTGAATAACTCATTAACTTTAACAAAATTAAAAAAGTCTTGCATTCAGGTCTCCAGATAAATATCAGTGTTGAGATGTTGGTACATTCAGCTAAAGGGTCTTAAACAAGATAAAACCTACGTTATAAATTCTACCGCTTTAGTCACAGACTAAATAAACCAAAGTTTTTATTTTGTAATCATTCATAGAGTACTTTTTTATTCGTAAGCTTGTGTAAAATCATTTCTATATAATTTAAATTTCATTCAGATAATCATCTTAATCTTTCTAATCATATTAGGCTTTAATTAAAGTTCTTCTTATATGAATAAGTTGTCTCAGTGATAATGACAATAATTTCATATGTCTTTATAAAAGCCTTAACCTTTTTAGAAGATTTGTTCGCATCTTTAATAGACATTAAAAAAGAAAGCAATGTATTATTGACTGAGATTATGAGTCAATTGATGTTAGACTACCATTGAAAACCTGGAAGCACTGGACTGTCATCCCGTCCTAGTATGAAACTCTTCAACAATGCGAATTCACGATCTCATATACAGGATTCGAATCCAAGACCTTCGGTATCACACACAAACGCTTAACCTGTAGACCATCGAGCCGGCAATCAATGGTTATAATGTCTAACTTAAACCAATCTTAGATGCTGAACAATCCTCTTGTGCTCATTAGTGACTAGCTTCGAGTGATTATTCTCGGAGTTCTAATGCGAAGCCAATGACCGGTAGAGCTAATCCGTGTCAGACTTGAAACAGTTACTCATCAAAGATAATTTCATGGATTGATTCAAGTTAAACTGACAATTAATTAATTAATATATACAGTCAATTCAATGAACAAGTATATCTTCTTAAAAATATAAACTTACTATTTATATCATTTGAATCAGCTGATAGTTTTCTTTCATTGTCTATCTGTTTATCATTGATCATAAATTTAGGTATAGTTAAATTAGATACAGATTGATTCATTGAAAGATTTTTAAAATGATTTTTTCTATTATTATTATTGCTACATTTGAATAGTTTATCCGGTGTTACTATATCAATATATTTTGTATATTGTTCTAATTTATTATCAATATTATTATTTTCATGAGAGTTTTTACTTGATCTAAAAGAATTTGATGGAAACAATGAATAAGGATCTGATATATTATTACTATTACTATTATTACTATTACTATCTTTATTATTAATTGTATTGTAATTACTATATTGTTTCATTGTTTTAATATCAAATTGATGTGATAATTCTGGCCAAGTTGTCATAGAATTATTATATGCCATTAAGTGATTTGAATTCATGTGTTTAGAAATTCAATGTTGGAATTCACTTCAATTTCTAGGAAAAAAAATAATTACAATAAATAATAACATTAATTTTTGTCCAAAACAAAATAAACACAATCAATTTTATTAGTGAAGTTAATAAGACTAAAAGTTTTATACTTAATCCCCCATAAAGTCATGAATGTGTAATGTTGAAGAGTCCCATATGACGAAGAAATAGTTGTTTAGTATAGCCTAGTTTTTAATGATTGTTCATGCAAGATTAACCTTTATTTATTGCTACATTATTTCATATCAGTAAAATGATGACGGTTATTTTGAAATATTTATTAGTCTCGTGATATCAAAGATCTATAATTTGATTATCGAATGTTTTAAAAATCTAATTATCACGTATTATAATAATCATTAGTAGGATAAATAAAAACCGGGTGTTGATATATTCAAACACACTAACAACCTTTATATTTATCCGAATGTTTTTATAGATTGACACGTTTTCCAGGTATAGGTTCAAGCTATACTCTAAGTATGAGGGTTAGTGATACTATACGGTTACTCAAAATCAAACAATAAAAGTCGAACTCGAACATGCAATTTAATGGATAAAGTTTGAACATCCTAACCAATGAAACAATGCTCTAATTCATACATTATTAAAAGTACTTGTAGTACGGAATTAATCGATGTTTATCGTATACAGTTGTTTCTCAAAAAAAAGAATCCCGATAGAAGACTATTTTAAACTAGAACTAATCTTTATAGATCTTCCACTTGAATAACATAACAGACTTTTGTTTTGAAAACGTTTTACATCATCTTTTAAAAAATGCTCGACAGCTAGATACTAACTATTAGATGATTTCATTGACATTTAGTATTTAATTACTTAACGATTCAATCCAAAGACCGTATTAGCATTAATTCTTTTTTATACTATCAAAAGTTAAAATAAGTTTTTCAACTTCATTTTGATTCCTTTTTTTCTTTTCGATCATAAATATTATTATCAGAAAGGGGGGAGTTTTGTTGAGATTGTAGTAACTTAATAATTGAATTCATGAGTCTATGAAAGCTAGACCACTGAGGAGTCCTATACTAGGATGAAACAACTGTCAAGTGCTTCTAGGTTTTCCGTAATGTTCAAGCTTTAATCGACTCATAAATTCAACTAGTAAAATAAACAAACTAGTTTGATTAACTTCTTAAAAAGAAAGTATCAATACCCTTTAAATGTTAACAACATCATTGTCATTAATATTATTATTTACCTGTTGTTATCTGTTGATCATAATTATATTAACCTTAATAAACTCAAAATAGAACTTTAAAATATTTAAATGTCAACACAACTAGGTTTTATGTTATCTTACTTATAAGGATAAACAAAGTCAATAACAACAAACAAGAGTTAATTCCTAAGAGAATCTAACAATCCGTATTCTATTAAAGTTCAAAGGCGATATCCTAAGGATTAGTCATTTGTGAATATTAGACAAAGTTTCACAGTTAACTTGATTCAGTTATGAGTTTGATTGTCTAATTATTGATTGCTAATGTTACTAACTGACTTATTGTAATAGTTCAAATGAAATGAATTTAAACTTTCGACTAAGCATCGAATCTCGTGAGGCGGGATCATGGATGTGCACTGCTAAGGAGTCCCATAATAGAACGAAACAGCCATCCAGTGCTTCCAAGTTTTCCATGGTAGTTTAGCTTCAATTGACTCATGATCTCAATTATTAAAATTACTATAATATCCACAAAACCACGTCTGATACTAAGCTTAAAAAGTCAAGTTGTTCAATATAATATAAATCCTCAAAATCATCTATAATAAAAGTAAATTGCAAACAACACCAGGTTACTATCACTAACTAAACCTAAAATCCTACTATATTTTTATGTTTAGATAAGAAAATTTACGTTTTAAATGAGAAACATAGAAATTTGACGATAGAAGTGACTCAAAACATATTTAAAAGTGAAATCAATTAAGTTTATGATTTCCAGTTAAATTATTGAGATTTGATGGTGGTTGGAATTAGTCGACAGAAAACCCTGGACTTTAGTTTCGTGCTGTTTGACACTCGTCAGTTACGTATACATATAATATTGAGGGGGCTGATGTTATCTGATGGATTCGACCCTGTATCACCCAGCTTCACAGTCAGAGACGTTACCACCGAACTATTTAGGCCCCAATTTACCTTTTGTATGATTGAGATGTATTCTACAATCGATTGATCACTGGGTGGTGATCAATGTCATGTGTGTCAGGTCCCTCTTAGTACAGATCGAACCCGATCAACCAGTTAAACTGCACTAATACATGTGTAATAATTACTATTATTTATTAAAACCATAACTTACGAAATACATTACACTGGATTGTAATGAAATAATTTTATTTATTTGAGATATACTCATTGTGACAGATGTTACCAAACCCATAGTAGTATTATTATTTGACTATATTATAGATTTACAATATTAAAAGGTAAAGAATAAGTTCACTATTAGAGATACATAGTGTAATGAGTATTTACAGTTATTTGTCATTTCATTCTCAAGTAAATAATAAGTAGTATAATATATTTGAAAATTATAATATCATTCTGAAGTATATGAAATTATATGATCCATTGTATAAAACACATTGTAACAACCCAAGTTGAACCAAGTAAATAGTTAAATCTCTTATCTTATTTAGTAGAATAAATGAATCAACATTCTGAAGGTTGCTATTATTATTATTGGCTTTATTCAATATTATATTTTTGATACAATATAGAATTCTCAGCACAAAGTATTTCAACAAGTTCCCTTTTCTTATCGCTTGATCGATCCTGACGATAAATACCGAATGATCGCCAATTAAATGTTAGCAGTTTAGGAACGGACATCTGAATAATGTTTATTCTTTTCAATGCATATTGCCAGCCACCACAATGTCTATGATTGTATTTTTTTGTAATTTGTACAACGAAAGATCGTAAACTTTTCATGAACGCGCTTGAATATGTTATGCCATTAGTAGACACAATAATGTATTAAAACAAACAATAAAACTTGTTGTAATATCTAAATCGAAGGAATAGGTAGTTCAGATATTTAAGCAGACCTCCAGACTAGCAATAATTCGTCTGTTATCCTAGTTTTACTACAAATTTAGTTATGGTGTATACACGAATCTAAAAGTCTATCAAGTAAGAGTATTCTAAGGAGTTAGTTCAACTAATTTCAAATATCAGTCAGAAAATAAGTATAATCCATATACAGTATCAGTTTTTCAATATTATCAAACACAATATAATTCGGTAATCAGAGTATTATAAATCGAGTTTTTATAACTTAATTTATTTAAAATACTCTACAGAAATATCTGTCAAATATCTTCTATAGTAATATTATTGTTAAACCACTTGAAATACAGTAGTGTGAAATTGTTTTCTACTGGATTTGCCCGTGTTTATTGTAAAAACCAATGTTTATATCATTGAAAAGTTTTATATGGATAGATAAATAGATAGATAAAGAGGGCAATCTATTATCTGGATGAACTGACTAGAAGATTACAGCTTGCCATAATGATAAATCGCTAATAAATTTATGAAAAACTGAGTTAAATAAGGAAGTACAACATGAATTGTCTAAATAAAATATTAAAAAAATTGAAAAAATATGTGCAGTAAATAAGTAATATACTCTTCAATGATAACAAAAATTGTTAAGTAAATGAAGAGTACTATAGATAATAATAAGTAAATTCTTATTTAAATTAATATAAATTAAAAATTGATATTTTGTTTATTCATGTAATTGTATAACACTGTTAATTCATTTTGATATGATTAAAATCAATAATTTGACACATTTTAATAAGTCCTACAACCAACATCAATTAGCTTGTACATATTTATTATTCTGTTGAATATTATCTGTTTATTTTGTGATGCTGAAAAATTCAGATTCTATCATAAAACACTTTAAAAGTATTATCAGAATGGGATTTTATGAAGATTTTAGTAATTTAATAGTTGAATTCATTAGTTAATTAATGATAAACCATCATGGAAAACCTGGAAGCATTGGACAACCGTTTCGTCCGATTGTGAATCCATGATAGATCCTGAGTTCGAATCCCACGAGCAGGATCGTGGCTGAGCACTGCTGAGGAGTTCTGCACTAGGACGAAATGACCGTCTAGTACTTTCAGGTTTTACATGGTGGTCTAGCTTTAATTGACTTATTAATTCAACTATCAAATTTTTTATCTGTGTATCACTTCAATGTTCATTTAAAGTAAATAACTGAGAATAAGATAACACTAAAACACAGTAAATATTACAACAATCTATGTATAAAATATAACTTAAAAAAAGCAACTCGAAAATAACAAATTAATGGGTTATTTTAAAGTTTTACTTACTAGAAATGTTATATAATAGAGATTCTTTATAGTCCTTGTAGTAATGGTTAACAGTCAAAGAAAAAAATATGAAATTTGAAATAATCCGTCTACTGAATTTTCAACTTCAATATCCTCTTATTGTCGTATGCTTTCTTTTATTAACTACGATTGTGGTCACAAAGTATAAATACAATTGTGAAAGACAATTTGATGAATATGGGTTTATGGTGTGAGATCTTATTTTAAAAAAAGTAGTTAAAAGGGAGTTGTAAAATCTATACATACATATGTTTATATATATATAAACATTGTACCAAAGGGAGTAGGAAGTAAATGAAAAAAATGGCTGGAATCTGCAAATGAGAAAAATCTGTTCTCATTTTTCTTACTTTGAGTTTATTTTTTTATGAGGGGGGAGGTGTTTCCAAATTTGTTGTTGTTCATCTACACATTTCACTCACAATGATTGTTCCCTCAATATCTTTCTACATTTGTCTATGCATAGAAGCACGATAAGAGTTGTAGTAGTATTAGTATTAAAAATAGAGATTGAAATTAACTTATGGAATTTGTTTACTAGTAGAAGAAATCATACTCAATCCTTGACTTAGTTTCTCTCCCTCTCATATTGTTTCAACAAACTTGTGTGTGTGTATGTGTGGTTACTTTAATTATTTCGCTTCATATACACACATGCACATTAGTAACTGTTCACTCATTTATTCAATCTCATCCTTTCTTTCTCTCCGTCTGTTTGACTTTAGTTGTAGAATGTGTTCTCATTGATTCATCCTCTTTTCTCAATCATTGTCCAATTGATGAGAAATCCCCCTTTAAACATTGAAATCTTTTCACTATTATTCAAAATCAAGACGATACATATAGTGTGATTAACCTGTAAGTACATACATACAGAACTCTCATATGTATGTAGACACAAACATGTAAATGCTAGATTCTACGCAAATTACGCTTGAAGTAAACACATTCCAACCGCTATTTAAGATTCTATTACATTCACTACCGAATAATCATTACTATATATGTAGAAGAGTAGAATTTGTATGTAAGTAGTAGAGATAGTAACAATAGTGATAGTTTTAAGGGTGACATCTATTCATTTAAAATAAATATATGTCTAATATGATTATCACCTATTAAATGTTGCTAACCAAGCAATAGATAACAAGTAATTGATTAATTTCTCTTTAACTACAAATCATAAAGTAAACTCAATTCTATATTAGTAATGGATAATGACATATAGTAAATATGTATATATCACTAGTTAACGGATTGGTTAAATTATTTATTACACAAGTTTCTATGGTTAGTTCATCAGTGAACAAGATCGTTGGTAACTTGATTATAATTGTCATTAATAATAATAATAATACTAAGAAGAAGAAGAAGAAGAAAAAGAAGTAGAAATAGAAGAAGAGGAAGAAGGAGAAGAAGAAGAAAAAAGAAAGAAATCTCCTGTTACTTATTGTTGAATACTAAGAGAAATAATTAGTTGTACGAAAAAAAACTATAGACAACATCTAATTATAAAAGATTATGACAAGATTTAAATAGATAGATATGTAGAAAATTTTTAATATAAAATTTCATTTCAAATTGTTTGAGTTGCTATAATGTTCTTGTAATAGATAAATATAGGATATCATATGTATAAATTTTCCCCTTTACATACACATATACTTTCGTTAATTATTTGAGTATAGCATAGAAATATCTGATTACGTATGGAATTATATTTCATAGAGTTATCTATAGGGAATAGTAATAATAATAAGCGTCATTTTGATACTTATAATGAATATAATTTTGATGATGGGGTATATTCTTAAGTAGAAAAAGAAATGTGATTTCTTAATGAAATTGAATACATCAAAAAAAATTTTTCTTTTTTTTCTTTTAAATTTGATATTATTAAGCCATTTTTAGTTTTAATATAAAATGACATTTTTGATTAACCCATAAATATGGGAATAGTAAATAGATAAGATAGAGGTAAAATTTATGTTATGGTGGTCTAGCTTCAATTGACTCATGATTTCAACCACTAAAATTACTATAATATCTACAAAACCCCTTCTGTTATTAGAAATTGCTTAGCTTATTGTAAGAATTGTAGGTTAAAAGGTTTTCTTTCTTCCAATGAATAATTGTTGTTAATATTTGACATAATGTAAATAACCGGTGGATTGAGTCTTAAGATGTTAAAAATGTTGTACTTATTTAGTGAACACTTTCAATTTTTAGGTCTTCTTTCGAAAATTGAAAATGTGAGGGATTATACTGGGGGACTAATGGTTGAGAACATTTTCCGATTTGAAGCGATTCTCACCATAGTGAATTACTTCAGAAGTGTATACACAAAAATTCTATCCTAGTAATTTACTATGATGTCATAATAATAAGATGGTTGATTTGAAATTATGCTCAAAATTAAACTTATTGAATCGTCTCATCAAATTAATGGTTGTCTGTGAAATTCTTTCTTCCTGTACTATGTCCTTATATGCAATCTTTCTTTTATATATTACTACCACTGAATTAACTACTTCTATGAATTCGGTGTTCATCTTGTTGTGCTATCGAGGTATGGTAACTTGGACCGATGCACATATGTGCATGGTCCTACATTGTAGCTGACTAACTAACTGAAATAAAAGCATCACGTGTGCACTAAAAACCGAATTCTTAACTACCTACTTAATATTTATGTGTACATTAGTAAAACGATTGAAGGAAAGTACTGAGAAAAACCCGGGGAATAAAAAGTGAGCAATTATTTATCATTTTTTAAGTTTACGTTTCGGTTTTCAGTGATTTCCTTTTCTACCCAATTATTTTGATCAATTAATAAGAACAGGAAAATTATGAGTTATTAAAATTTTATTGATATCACCAACCGACTCAAATTCGACATCCGTAAAAAATCAGGAAGCGCTGACATATTTTGTTTTGTATTTGGATGGTATTATTCAGCAGTGGGCATATGCGATCCCATCATCAGGGGTGAAATCCAAGAACACCGGTCTCGCGCATGAACATATAGAGTTCAAACCATCAAGGCGGTATTGAATATTGTATATGTCTAACTTCGGTCTATTCACGATATTACTGGACTACCTTTCATTGTCTTCGATAGCTGATTACTTCACAACCTACTCAAGTGAGATTCACTAGCCATAACTTGGCACTATAATTCTAGAATTTCCTATCAAAATTTATCACTAGCGAGCACATAATATTTACCAGTAAAGAGGTTTGTAGAGATTGACCTAAGATTAAAGTTACACTTAAACACAACTAGATTTCAACTCAGAGTCTGTAGGTTGAACGTTTATGGGTTAGATCGAAAGTCCTGGGTTTAATCCCTGGCTGCGGGGTCGTGTATATCCAAAAAAATTTTCTAAACTTAAATTCTGAAATTTTTTTGAGCTTGTTTAATAAAATATATCTGTAACCGATCTGAAATTTATATCTCTTGAGAAATTGAAACTCTGATTACTGAATGATATATAAAACAGTTTACTAATTGTCTATTAAGAGGAAATTCTCTAATCGTTCATGTGTATGTTTTTTAACTATTTACAAACAAGTTTCCATCCATAATTCCCTATGGAATAGACATAAATGTCAGAGGAGCAATCATTAGTGAAAGCACATATGTTTAATCATTATAAATAAAATCACTTAGACTGAACAGTTATAATGAACTGATAATAATATATCAAAATGAATAAAGTGCCTAACTTATGTTCAAACCACATAGTTTTATGTCTTGAGTTCTACTAATTATAGTGCGTGGTTTCAAACAGTTGATAAAAAGCGGTTGTATAATTAGAATTACACTAAGCTTGGTTGAAAGGGACATATTCTGGGATCATATACAGATACTATCCAGTATGTTAAAGAGTGGTTATTCAGTTAACAAATCTCTTATTATTTTAGTTCTGAAGATTTCGTTACAGAATTTTGACTTGTTAGAATGATATAAAACAATAGCATCGTACGATTAATCTGTTGACACTAGAAAGAATTGCCGAAATGACGCAGTTATAACTGTCTGTTTTAAACTAGAGCTGAACAATTCATACAAGGACAAAATGCGTTCCTTGGCTTACACTTCTAGCTTCAATGTAATGTAAATATAATTAAAAAAAGAATTAAAAATAAGTTAAAATTATAGAAATATTCTCTTTACAGTACTTGTCGAACTAATGAAATGATCATTCAAAATGATCTACGTTTGGGCGTTTAATTCAAAATCGCTAGTCAACTTAAGTTACATATAAACTATACAATGTAGGTATTTTTTTCAAGAAGAAGTTAACATTATACCACTTCACCATGGTAACAAATCTATTACCGTTACTATATGAAACTAGGTCAAATTAACATTACTACTATTGCCTCTACTCCCCATAAAAGTAAGTTGAATACGAAACAGGGTCAATTAAGTAGGACGCGTGGTATTTTTATTTAATGTATATATATATATATATATATATATATATATATATATTAAACAAATTAAATTAGCCTGAGGATATCAGACAAGAAAACATTCCTCATTCATTATTTTTTACAGTTTAATTTTTAATAAGTGTACAGTAACGATGGAATGTAAAACAATACAAAACAATCGGCGATAAATTATGGAAACAAAAAACAAACAAAAAAAGTGTACAGAAAATTGAGGAAGAAAGTTTTTAGTGGAATAAAAAAAAGACAACTAGATTTTTCTCTATTAATAGGAGTTGATTCGTTGTTATTGTTTTGTTTTACATTCTATTTCTGTTTACATATTTATTTGTGAAATTAAATTTTTTTACAAAAAGCAAATGATTGACTTTAACTTGGGACAGAAAAATTAACATTTTACAAACAAGTGGACATGGAAGAGAAAGTAACGCAATATGGTGAATGAAGTACGTTTTTACATTCACACCTACTCATGTTACCTCTGTCTTTTCTACTACTAATACTACTTCTTCTTCTATTTCTTCATCTTCTCTTTATTATCCTCTATTATTGTTTTTACTTTGTTTATCCATTTTGATTATGTATTGACAAAAAG